CTGGGGCTCAGGCCCAGCTCAGTCCAGCCCCTCCCACAACTGCTCACTACCTGCTGCCAGGCACTTTGCATCCTGCACCAGAGGCTCCTTGAAGAATGTAGGTACCATTAAATATGTCCTGTGTGAGGAAGAAGACACAGATGAAGATGAAGATGAAGATGAAGATGAAGATGAAGAACAGGAGGAGAGGAAGGAGAAACAAAATGTTTCTACAGCCCTGACCAGAGTGGCTCAGTTGGACCATCAACCCATGTACTAAAAAGTCAAGGGTTCCATTCCTAGTCAAGGGCAGGGACTTGAGTTGCAGCTTGGATCCCAGCTGCCAGGCAGGGTGCAGGGCAGGTGTGGGAGGCAACAAATCCATGTGTCTCTCTCACATCGATGTCTCTCTCTTCCTCTCTCTCCCTCCCTTCTGCTCTCTCTAAAAATCAATGGGAAAAATATCCTCAGATGAGGATTAAAAACAAAAAATATCAATCAATCAATCAATTCCAAAGGAATCTAAATGTAAAATAGAAAGAAAAATTGTAAATGTGCAGGAAGAAATGCTAAACTAATGCTGGCTTGTGGAAACATAGCTAATCAAGACACAAATTCCAGAAGCCATAAAGAGAAACTTGATTGATTTTTCCTCTTAAAAATTACAAACTGCAAAGGCTACCATCAGCCAAGGCAGAGCAGGAGAGGCGGGGGCACTGTGTGCAGTAGAGACCACAGGTGGAGACCACAGGTGACCACTGTCCACAGTACACAGGAGCCTATGGATCAACATGGAGAGACTGAACCCAGGTTCTTAACCATAGGGAGACACAGGAACAAATCATTCCCTGAGAAGGGGCTTGCGCAGCGTCAGGCAGCTCCTGGGGGCAGAGTAGAGCCCACACCTCCTGGTGCTGGAGGCTGAGGAGGGATGTGGTGTGAATAAGGCAGCAGCTCCCAGGTGTGTCTCTGCTGTACAGACACAGGGATCTGGGCTCAGACTCCTCCAGCTGTACTTTGTCTACTGTTGGTTTTTAAAGATGAAAAACTGGGTCATGCCACATACCTGTCTCAGACTCTAGGTCAGGGCTTCTCCCCGATTCTGGATACACAGGACCACCTCCTACGTCTCCCGTCCCTTTGGGGTCCTCAACTGAGGGCCGGCCAAGAGCAGAGCCCACCCAGCTTCCTCTTCAGTGTCTCATCGTGTTACCCGGGGGAAGTCATTCCCCTCTCAGGCCTCAGTTTCCCCACAAGACCCAGCACTAAGCTCAAAGGGTGGGTGAAACAATGTCTGGATTCTTGAAATCTCAAAGGAAATCCTTTACCCCCATCAGCCTCAGCAGCAGCCTTGTGGGCAGCCTCAGGGCGGCCAGACCACAAGGACAGAGCATCGGACGCACCTACCTTTCCCCACCTCCTCTGCTTCCTCCACACCCCCCCACATCCACCTCCTGTACTTCCTGCACATCCGCCCACAGCCACTTCTGCTTCCTCCACAGCATCCCAACAACCCCCTTCGTCTTGGGGCTCTGGCTCCTGTCTCAGCTAGCCCAAGACTGTGCTGAGCTGGAGGGGTCATTGTGAACCCACCTGAGCAGTGTGCCCTTCCTCTGCGCTATTTATGGCCACAGGGGGAGGAAGGAACCCTCAGACAAAACTGGGTTCCAATCCGGTTCTGTCACTGCTTACATGTGCCCTTGGGCCCATTACCACACCACCACCCCCATCTTCGGGTTCCGTCATCTATACAATAGTGACAATAATACCTGTCTTAGAAACTGTGAGGATGAGAAGAAGGGGGAGGGGTTCTTACCCTCCCAACTTACCAAGATTCTCCCTCTGGCTGATTTGGAACAAAACCCACTTGTTCTTAGCTGTGCACATCCACTGGGCAGCTGTGTCTGCACAAACACTTTCTGGGTCTGTGGAAAACTGAAAGCAAATGCCCAAGTTCTGAGAAGCTCAGGGTCAAGCATTACCCAATCTGCATCACGGCAGGATGGCCCCACCCTGCCTGCTGGAACAACCCCAGGTCTGACCCATCAGGTACTTCTCCGCTCAGCCCATCCTGCCTCCCTCAGGTTTCTGTAAGGAAACCTGCCACAGACAGACAGTGGGATCCTGGGTAAATTTCTCCCTCCACCCCATGGGCTTGTACCCAGAACCCTCCTCTCTCATCCTCCCCCACACCCCCCCAAATGCCCCCCTTAGTCACCCTTCTGTCCCCAGCAATGAGCAAATCCCTGAGCACAGCAGATGCTCACTCTACATGCCTCATATATAGTATATAAATTTATATTGTGTCATATGTATGCATTTCAGTTCTCTATTATATTTTGAAACTGTATTTGCTATTTTTTTCATATCACTTTATATTATTTTTTTAACAATTTCTTAGTGATTTCTTCCTCAGTACTTCAACTGTCCTTTTATTCCTTTATTTTTCTCTCTCAAGGATGCCATGTCCTTTGAAAACTTGTTTACAAGTTAATGGTCTTTTATGCTCCCTCCATGTGAATAGGAGTTCACTTTTTGAGTAGTAAGAATTATATGTCACGGGGGGAGGGCATCAGGATTTTAGAGATGCTTAGGTGGGGCATGGCCAAAAAATGATTGGGCACCACTGCTCTCCACTTTACAAATAATTCTTCCAATAACCTTAGAACTTTGTGTTAGGATCGCCGAAGGAGGAAAGTAAGAGGCCTAAATTTTTAAAGAAGTATAAAGGTATTAGACCATCTGGAAACAGATGGGCTGAGCAAGAAAATGGCGCCAGCACTGGGGGATTGGGGAGTCAGAGCTTTTCAAGGTCTGTTCTTGCCTTGGCCGGTTTGGCTCAGTGGATAGAGCATCAGCCTGAGGACTCAAGGGTCCCAGGTTCAATTCTGGGTAAATTTCTCCCTCCACCCCATGGGCTTTTCCCCACAACCTTCCTCTTTCATTTCCCCTTGATGCCCCAAATTACCCCCTTTGTCACCTGTCTGTCCCCAGCAATGAGCACACCCCTGAGCACAGCAGATGCTCATTGCCTCCTTGCATTGCCTTGATTCCTGCTCCTACTGAAGGCCCCGCCCAGGCCATTTCCAGACATTTGCTTTTGTAGGTCCTTCTGCCAGGAGCACCTGCTTCTCCCACCTGGAACAACATGCTCACCCTTCAAAGCCCAACTCTGGGATCACCTCCTCTGAGAAGCCCTCCGGCATTTCCCCCTCCCAGAGTATATTGTCCCCTGCAGGCTCTGCTCCCCTGACCCCTGGGGCAGACCCAAGGCCTTTGTGTCCACATCTCCCCTGACCCTTTAGATCAGGCCTCTCTGAACCTGTCCCTGGTGGCAGGGTTAGTGCCTCGGAATCACGGCGACCTGTCCGAAGAGGCCCTCCCTGGTGGTCATGGCTGTCTGTGGGAGCACAAGGTTGTGGGCGTCGGCAGAGAGAAGCCTGATGTTCTCTCTCCTGGCTCCTTTTCTCTTGACAGCAGATCTCTCTATAGGAAGCCCAGTGTTGCCGTCACACAGAAACATCTGAAAACAGAAGGGACACACGGTTGAGTGCGTGCCAGGCACCGTTCGGGCACCTTCCCAGCCTTTCCTATTTGATTCTCACACCGGCTCCAGGAAATACCACCTGGATTTTACAGATCAAGATGTTACAGAAAACCGGAAAAGAACCAAGCAATGCTTAGAGAGATGGAGTTACATTTCTTATTATTACGTGCGAGCCCAGAGGAAAATGTCTCTCTCAAATTCTGGGTCCCATCACACAGGAAGTTTCCTGTATTTATACCTTCTTACCCTCTTTGTCTCCCAAATATGGGGTTCTGTTCTGGTCCCCTTTGCAAGTTCTTAAAGAGCCCCTATATGCTGGGCTTTGAGACCTCGACCAAAGGCTTGACCTGGTGCCAGCACTGATGACTTCATCTGGGGAAGGTTTAATGGCCTCTCTGAAATAGGAGTAGTCTTATTTTCCTTAATATTTTAAGCCAGCAAGCATTTACAGAAGCCAGAAATAGAAGGGTTAAAATTTCAAACAGCAGTTTTTATATAAGACTAG